CACTTATGGTCTTCAAGAGTTGTTAGAGGGGAGGAAAAAAGAGGGCATGGAGAAGTTAAATGACTTGCCCAGAGCCCCACAGCCAGTATGTGTCAGAGATGGGAGTTGAGCCCAGTTCTTCCTGACTTGCTGAAGGCTAGATCACCACCTACCACACCATACTGCCCTTCTTTACTTTCAGTTTATAGGGGAGAAAGTGACTTAATAAGAGGATCAGAGTTAATTTGGAAGGAACCATAGAGATCATCTAGTCTGACCTCTCACCCAATTCAAGCAGTCCCTCCACATTATCTCTGATAAATGGTCATCTACACTCTACTCAAAAACCCCTGGGGAGTTTTAGTACCCGACTATGGAGTCTGGAAGACCTCCATTCAGTTTCTGCTTTAGGCCTTAGCTATATGGGCATGATACAAAATGTTCCAAACCTCAGTTTTCTTATCTGTAAAATAGAAAGAAAAGTAACTGTACTACTTACTTCCCAGTGTTACTAGGAGGCTCAGATGAGATAAGCCCTGTGTAAATGATCTTGAACACAGCTATTTCTTGTGTTACGTCCTTCAAGGACTCTTGAATGATTATGATACATGAATGGGGAGAGAGCTGGTTGGAACAGAGTCAAGGAAGGAAGTCTTTTGTTCTGCTAAATCAAAAAGAAATTTTTTTCTCATAAAAAAAAACCCAAACCCAAGCACAATGGATTTTTATATTCTCTATGCATGGTCATAGATCCTGGAGTGGGAAGGGACATTACTGCACACATTTAATCCAAACCATTTATTTTACAGATGAGGCAACTGAGACCCAGAAAGGTTAAGTGATTTGCCAGGGGCCATATAAGGTAGTTGAGTCAAGATCCGATGTATTCCAATCAATTGTGAAATTGTAGAGACCTGGTCCATTGCTGAATACTGCTTGCAAAAGCTGCTTGTTAGCTTCTAATGCTCTCATTAGGGATAATTTTGCATACATATATGACTCTAATGCAGATTCTAAGTAAGTAGGAAAAAAGGCAAATAGATAAGTTGATACTTTCTCTATTATCTTTTTCTTTGTTTTGTTTTGTTTTAACAAGGTCTGAGATTTTTGTAGCTAGGTGGCACAGTGGATGAAGAACCGGACCCAGAGTCAGGAAGATTTGAGTTCAAATTTCTTCTGACACTTCCTAGCTATCTGATCATGGGTAAATCACTTATCCTCTGTCTGCCTCAGTTTCCTCATCTGTAGAATGGGGAGAGTGTACAGTGGAATAAAGATACCACATTGTTACATCGAGACAAATGATTTATTTAGCAAGGCATGCCATTGTAGAAACAAATTGGGCCCCAGGCTCTCAGTAGTACAAGGACCCTGATCATTGGTTTCTACAGTTATTCTATAATTGAAGGGAGTAGAAAAACATGGTTGTAGGAATTGAGATACCTAGTTTCTTATTGGTAGAGGGGATTAGTGGAGGTGAGGAGACACTGAAGTGTGTGTGTGTGTGGGGGGGTGTCTTATGACTTTCCTGCCTTGTAACTTTTTCTGTGTTCAGGTGACTTCAAAGAAGTTGGAACTTAACTTTACAAAATGGCAGATAAAAGCTATATAGAATTATTCATGCTATTTTTAATGTAGTAATAGTAGTGGTACCTGTCTCCCAGGGTTGTTGTAAAGATAAAATGAGAAAATATTTGTAAAGCTCTTTGCAAACATTAAAGTACTAGATACATGCTAAAACCTTTGTCTGTCAGATGTCTTACATATTGGTCGCTCAGGGTCCTCTCAATTATATCACCTTCAGCAGGGATATACACTATACGTACTTGGTCTAATCCTCTTGCTTTTCTTGCCTTTAATACTTCCAGCTCTGGTAAGTACATTTGTTGCTGTGATGTAGGGTCCAAGTGTTGGGGCTCCACCAGCCTCGATGGTGAAAACAATACATAATGATAAATGTTTGTAAATCTGTTCTATTTTTCTTCTATTTGTTGTCCTCCTTCCATTTTTGTCCTTAAATGCTTTTGGGATGACAGTGACTTTGCTTAGTGGGATTTCTTGCCAAGCTTTCTTTAAGCTGGTTCCTCTACTGCTTCTCATAACTGCCCATCATTTTCTTCATAAGGTTTTACAGTTGAGTTTATATTCTAAACTGGTAATACTTTTAATTTCCACCTAGAGCAGGGATAGGGAACCTTCGGCCTGGAGGCCCCATGTGGCCCTCTAGGTTCTCAGGTGTGGCCTTTTGAGTGAGCGAGTCCAAGTTTTACAGAACAAATTCTTGTATTTATTAAGGAGATTTGTTCTGTGAGATTTGGATTCAGTCAAGGGGCTGCACTTGAGGACCTAGAGGGCCACATGTAGCCTTGAGGCCGCAGGTTCTCCACCTCTGAATTCTAGACTAAGTTTGGCAAACCACTTCACTTGGCAAGTGAGTGGAATGTTTCTTGATTAAAGTGCTTTCAATGCTCTTTTGGTCTTCATGTGGTAGAACATTTACAAAAGTTAGAGAGGTATAAAATTATTGTAATCAGTATCAGTGTCTTTTGTTGATATTCAATTCCCACTTCTCATTCCTGATTATTTGTTTAAATAGTTCAGGATTGAATCATTCCAGTTCAATTCAAATATCTTTTTCTCATTAAAATTCTTTCTCCTTTCTTTTTACTAATTCTGATTTAAGCACTACTAAATTGATGACCTGACTGCACACAGACAGTGGATTTAGGGATAACAATATCTTTTCCTGTCTATAAAAATATAATCTATTTTTGAGATGTTATTTGGTGCTTGCCATATCTAGCACCCACCAATCCTTTTCTTGAAGAAAATTTTATGAAATAGAGACATGAAGTTTCCGTGTACTTTATAAATCTTTGTCCTCTCTCATACCTCTTCATCTGAACTAGGCTTTTCCATATATTTCTCATTGTGCTAACCTTTCGCCATCTTTGCATTGAAGTTGTTCAGTATCACAGTATATTTTGATTTCGTTTGGAGAGTTTTATCAGGTTCTTCATAGACTTTCTCAGCATCTTCATTCTAAGCAACCTCTGTTGTTTAGATGAACACAATTATTTCTATGATGGTATTTTTGCAATTACTTACCATCAATATTGTAATATGCTATATGAAATATGAAATAGTTTCTTGTTGCCTTTGAATATATGAGAAAACCAACTCTAATATCTCCTTTCTTTGTCCCTTCAAGGAGAATCATCCTTCCATTTAGCCAGTTTCCTGTTTTCTTTTGATTTAATTTATGCCATGAATTTGAATTTATAGCAAGATTGGTATAATTCAACTTCTCCAACTGTATGTGCATTCATTGTTCATTTGGAGTATCAATAATCAGATTAAAGGCTTTCTAAAAATTCTTATTCTGCCCCTTTTTCTACCACTTCGCCACTGAATCGTAGAAACAAATGGAGAACCACTCAGAACTGAGGGCCATTTTGTGTTATTCTTTGTTTCATGGGCTACTACGGCCAAAACATTTGTTACCAGCTGGGCTGGTCTTTGAAAAGTGGACTCAGTCTTGTTAAGGTTAGATATTTCAAGCTTTTCCAGCATGTTAGGATGTGCCAGAGTTTGCATAATATTGGCATAGCCTTCAAGACCCCAGAGTCACTCCCCCTCAGGGATGGGGCGTTGGTGTAGGACACATTAGACTTATGGGAGGACCTGAACAAGACTTTACACAGGAAAGGGACATGAATAGGTTGTGATTATAGTAGGGAACTGTTAAATCAGTGAGATCACAGATTTACTGGAGTGTTTGAGAATGTAAATGTCTACAGTCATCATTAACTACAATCATCATTGTCATCTCATTCTTCTTATCCTTTTCAATGGAGTATATATAAAACCAGTTCTGGTACAAGTCACTCTCCTGTTAAAATTCCTTTATATTTAATATGCCATGGACTATTTACAGGTAGATTAAAAATCTGCTTTTAAAAATTGAATGGAGATACTATGATTGTATTTGACAAAAATCTCGCTCCTTATAACTTCTACCTGTTGGTTCTAGTTTATCCCTCTGGGATAAAATTAAACAAGTCTACTTGCTAGCTGTGTGACCTGGGGCAAGTCACTTAACCTATGTCTACCTCAGTTTCCTTCTCTATTAAAAAAGGATAATAATAGCACCTATCTTCCAGGGTTGTTGTGTAGACAAAATATTTATAAACTGCTTTGCCCACCCTCGATATATGTGTATTACTACTACTATTGGTGCTACTATTACTACTATTACTATTATTACTACTACTACTATTACTACTACTACTACTACTACTACTACTATTGCTACTACTACTACTACTACTACTACTACTACTACTACTACTACTACTACTACCATCACCACCACTCACCACCACCAGTACTACTTTTTCTATAAGATAGTCTTCCAGATATTTGAAATTGGCTATAATGTCTTTCCTATGTCATCTTTATTTCCTTGCTAAACTTTTCACATTCTTAACATATCATTTCTACACCCCCTTCACCACCCTGTTCCTTTGCCAGCTTATCATCATTCCTCTGACAATGTGGCTCCCAGAACTGGTAACCAAATAGTATTCCTATATTCTAGCTATTATCTCACTAATTATAGAGTACCCTGGTACCAGGACCTATCTACCTGGTCCTAAACACTATATTTCTGTTTTGTAAGAATAAAAAAAATATGATGAATCTGAAGGATCTTAGAACTCCAGAAAGAAAACTAGATTGGTGCAATGACTTTTTAAGAGTGGATAAAGAAAACAAAAGATTGGCAGTGAGTCACATCTCTAATCCAAGGTCTCTCCAAATATAGATATTCATAGAGGGTGGGCAGGCCAAATCCTGGGAAGCATTATGATGAAGGGCCAACCCTGCTGCCCACCCCCCGGAAATAGTTCTTCATGGTCTGTGCATAAGTACATCTCCAAGATTGGGTTTCTGTACATTTACACAAATTTAGTGGGTGGGATGGGAGAGAGGCATGGAAGCAAAGGGATGGGATAACTAAGGAGGATTTAGTTCCTTTTTATTAGAACTGATGCTTGTGACTGCTAGAGACAAAAAAAATGATTTTTCTCCTTACATTCAGTATAAGATGAAATTAAAGAGTGAATGTGAGAGGATCTTCTCTGCATGAGAGATGTATAGATACAGTTCTTAAAGTAGAATCCTTCTGAATAGGTTCTTTAGATTCATAAAGTCACCCATTGCTGCATGCTTCTGTCTCCAAAATGAACTGCACAGAGGGGTAGCTATCTTTCAAAGAGCCTAGAATAGAATTCAAAAATAGGATTATGTTGCTATGAACTTTATGCATTTGTTCATAAATTTCTTAACTAAATAATCTTTGTTATCTGTGTTCTTTTGTCCTGTTTTCTACATTAGATTTTGTGTTGACTAACTCAGCACAAAAGAACCTGCAAAATTTATCTTAGGTACTTTGCTTGGAAGAAAGAAAACAAGCATTTATTAAGCAACTATTATTATCCAGGCACTGTGCTAAGCACTTTATAAATACTATTTAATTTGATTCTCACAACAACTCTGGAAGGCAATTGCTATTGTTATGTCCATTTTACAATGGGGAAACTGAGACAGTTTAAAGTTAAGTGACTTGCCTAGGGTCACACAGCTAGTAAGTGTCTGAGGTCAGATTTAAACTTCTTGATTCTAGGTCCAGTGCTAGGTCCACTGTGCCACTTCTCTCTCTTTCTTTCTCTCTGTGTCTCTATTACACACACACACATACACACACATGCATATATAGTATTATGTTAAATATTATACATATTAATATATTTGCACATATATGCACATACATGTAAATAAATATATCTCTCATCTGTTTATCAATCAATCTATATTTTAGAATTAGTATATGTGGCCACCAGTTGAATGGTGGTACTCTGGTTATGGTCTTATGTTCCAGACAACAAGGCTTCCTGGGGCATGATCAATTGAGAAAGAATACCTTGCTTTTCCACTCATTTATACTTTTTTCACAAAAATAGAACTCTTGATTAAAATAGAACATAAGAGAGGTAGCATAGTATGATGGAGAGAGAATTGGCCTTTGTGACCTTGGGCAAGTCACAGAGAGCCCTAAGCAACCCTCTTAGACTGTAAATTATAGAACAGTTGCCTATTTGTATTAGTAAAGGAAGGGTGTTCTCCAAAGCTTGACTATACCTATGAAATCATAGGTGTGGACCAAAAAACCCCAAACCAACCATCCACGGAATCTAACAAGGATTTTTCAGTGTAGTCATAAACCGGCTTCATCCCAGATTTATGATGACTATTCCTTTTATAATAATAATGATGATAATGATGATAGCTGACATTTTCATGGAGCTTGAAAAGTTTGCAAAATGTTTTACATGCATGATTTCATTGGGTGAGACAATGTTTGCACACATTACTATTGATAAATGAGCATTGAGCTTCCTTCCATATGCCCTTGAGGACAAGCAAAGCTCACCTGCAGTGTTGTAGGCTCTGTTATAAGGACTGTCAGGATGGTTGTGTTGTTGTTCAGTCATGTCTGACTTTTTGTGACCCCATTTGGGGTGTTCTTGGCAAAGACACTGGAGTGGTTTGCCATTTTTTTCTCCAGCTCACTTTACAGAGGAAACTGAGGCAAACAGGGTTTGACAGCAACTTGCCCAGGGCTCTTTGGAGGGACTAAGTGGGAAATATAGAGTGTGCTAGGCCTAGAGGGAGGAAGAGTTGAGTTCATATCTAGTCCAAGGGAAAAAGAGTGCTGAATTGGAGTCATGGGACCTGAGTAAGAAATTCTGCCTCTCTCACCACCTATGTAGTTCCCTTATTTATAAAATGGGAAATGATGATGATGATGATGATGATGATGATGATGATGATAATAATAATAATAATAATAATAATAATAATAAATTGTGTGTGTTTGGGCAAATCACTTAATCCCTCTGATCCTCAGTTTCCTCATCTGTAAGATGAAGTGGATGGTCTGAAGTCTTCTTAGGTCCCTTATAGCTCCAGAGCTGATATTATCAATCAGTCAGGCAACCAGCAAGCATCTATTGAATGACGATTATGTGTAAGGCACTGTGCTAAGTGCCTAGGATACAAAAAGGGAGTAAAAACAACAGTTCTTACCTTTAAGAAGCTTATATTCTGATGGTGGAGGTGATATGCCAAAAATTATGTACAAACAAGATATATAGTTTATAAATGGAAGGCACTAGCAGTAGGGAAGGGTCAGGGAGGAAGCATCTGCAGAAGAAGGTATTTGAGGTGAATCTTGAAGGAAGTCAGGGAAGCCAGGAGGAGGTAGTGAGGAGAGGGAGAATTCCAGGCATAGAAGATCAGCAGGAAGATGAAGTTTATTACCCAAGGAAGGCCAAGCAGGCCATTAGATTGTGTGAAAAGGGGAAAGTCAATTAATCTCTCTGATCCTCAGTTTCCCTATGTATAAAATGGGAATGATGATGATGATGATGATGATGATGATAAAATACCTCAAGAACCTACCACTCCGGGCTATTGTTAAGGATCAAATAAGATACCATATGTAAAGTGCTTTGCAGACCTTAAAGACTTTTGGAAATGTTTGCTATAATTATTTCTACTATTCAGATAAAGGTCAATCAATTGGAGTCAATTAGTAGTTTATTAGCACTGTATTAAGCCTTGAGGATACAAAGAAAACCCAAAACAAAGCAAAACACCAGTCCCTGCTCTCAAGGAGCTCACAGGATGGCATAGTAAATGGCTAAACTTGGACAGGAAGACCTGAGTTCAAATCCAGCCTCAGATCTTGGAAGCTTGGTAACCCTGGGCAAGTCACTTAACTTCTGTCTCCCTCAGTTCTTCTGTTTATAAAATGGGTATAATAAGAACCTCTGCCTTCCAGAGTTGTCAGAAACTTGGACTGTACTTGTGATTTCATTAAAAGAAAGAGCTCCTAGATGAGGAAACTCTTTGGGTCAGCACTTTCTTTGGAACTTAAAAGTCTTAGAGAGTTGCTCTAGAACATTGAGAGGTTAATTGACTTATTGAGGGATACATGCCAGTATATATCAGAGGCAGGACTAGAACCCAGAGGGCTGGGCCTAGAGTCAGGAGGACCTGAGTTCCAATCTAGCCTCACCAATTACTAGCTGTGTGACCCTGGGCAAGTCACATAACCTCTGTCTGCCTCAGTTCCTTCACCTGTAAAATGGGGATAATAATAGCACCTGCCTTCCAGAGTTGCATCAAATGAGATAATAATTGTACAATATTTAGCACAGTGCCTGACACATACTAAGTGCTATATAAATGGTACCTATTGTTATCATTATTTAGGTAAAGCACTTTGCAAAACCTTAAAGTGCTATGTAAATGTTAGCTATTACTATACCATGCTGCATTCACAAAGAAAAATGATCACAGTAGCATAAGCTTTAAAGTATCTTTAAGGATGCACATATTTCTCTTTATAAGAAACCAAAAATGTATTCTAAGTGAAGAATTCAGCAGAATCCTCAGTAACCACTGTGCTCTGCCATTCTTCTTGGAAAGTCCCTCCCCATCTTTTTAGGATTCCAATGAGAATATCATGGAACAAGTCACTGGAAGGCTTTTCCCTGTGGATCATGTCAATTATGAAATCCCCCTCAAAGAATGACTCTGGACATCAATTCACATTCTGTTCCTTGGAAACCTCTCTGGGTCACCACCCTAGATGCTTCTAGCCCCAATATCCCTTTGTATATACTTGTCTGTCATAACCACCGTCCCTGAACATGTAAAATAAAATTCCTCCATCACTAGCCCTCATCCTGTGTAACGACTGTGTAACAAGACCCAGTTTCCACAAGCTCATCATACTACTGTCTGAATGGCAAGAAACCCTGTAGTTTATTTTGGCCGATGCTCTGATTTCAGCTCTGCAAATACAACACATTCTGTTTGATAGTTTCAAAGAATTATCTTAAGGCATTACTTCAACTTCAACTAGCACTATCCTGTTTGAAGTCATTATTACTCATTAGGCATATTGTGCTTAAATCAGAACTAGGCCAAGGATGAAAAACCCATCTGAGTAAGAAGCACAAGTATCGGATAAAGCTATTTTCAACTTGTGGGAGATTTTCAAGGCGGGGAGGGAGGGGAGAGCTGGTGGAGAAAATGTTTTGTGTGGGTTGACTGCTGTCACTGCTGACTTACGAATGAAAGCTAAGCACTGAGAAACTTGCTCAGTCCTCGAGCCTTTCATATGTTAAACGCATTATTCATAATGCCATTTCAAAAGAGAATTCTGCAGGTTGGATATACACCACCCAACTGTACAATATAGGTCAATCCAAGAGCCCTTAGCCAAGAAAGAGAAGAAAGAAAGAAAGAAAGAAAAAAGAAGAAAGAAAGAAAGAAAGAAAGAAAGAAAGAAAGAAAGAAAGAAAGAAAGAAAGAAAGGAAAAAAAAAGAAATGTAGAGCCACTGAGAACCCGCTGGGTCCAGCCAAAATAAAAGGCTGATGAGGAAGAATGAGAGATGCAATTTTTGACTTATCTCTGGCTCCCTCCTCATGCTTCCCTCCCAAACAAGGACTCTGCCATATAGTCTCTGCTGATTTTGCAGCATGTGGTCAGGATGGCATCAGTCTCAGCAGTTCTGAAAGGAGTCCAGTTCAAATTGTTCTAGCATGAACGGCTGTCTGGGGTTCAGAGGTTTGCTAGTAATGTGAATGTCAATTTCCCTTCTCCAGTAAGTGGGGATTATTTGGTAGAGTTATTGAATATGGAGATATTTTTAGTTGCCTCTGATGCCTCAGAATGGTGTGAAGGTCACCCTGGGCTCTTGAAGGCTATATCAGTAGGGTATAATTACTAGCAGATCCTACCAAGCTGGAGAGGCAGAAAGTGCAGGCTATGGCTAGGCCAGCCAAGACCTAGACCAGCTGAGTCTGGAAAGGATCAGCATCAGGAACCAGCTGTTGAGTGATACTCCCACTATACCCTAGCCTCCTCAGACCTCATCTGGAGTACTTTATTCAGTCCTGGGAGTTACCACGTAAGAAGAGCATTAATAAGCTGGGGGGCCTCTAAAAGACGGCAACTAGGATGGAAAAGGGCCTTGAGGTCATGTCACACAAAGATGAATTGAAGGAAATGAGCATATTTTAGAAGATGACAGGCTCTGAAGAGAAGATTCTGAAAGGGTTGGAGGTGGAGACATGATAGCTGTTTTCAAGTATAATAAGAAGGAAGAAGGATTAGGTTTGCTCCATTTGGCCTCGCAGGGAG